GCGGGCCAAATTTGGCCCGCGGGCCCCACTTTGGGCTCCTCTGGTTTAGGTGGTCTTGACTCAAACAGCTCCTCAAGATCTTGATTCCTTTAGAGATATTTATCCCGTCTCTACGTGTCACAGGCACTAGGTGTTGTGACCTCACCACTGAGGACATCTGATTTTAATATTTCACGTTAAAGCTAAAAATACAATTAACACTGAATCACTTACATCATTTTATTAATATTAAACCGACACTAAATGAATATTTGCTGTGCTGATTATTGTTCTGCTGAACATCCATGGGATTCACATTCCTAACATTTCCAGCTCTGTAGGAGAAAAGCTGCTAATGAAGATCATCTAATCGYCCAAGAACTGTTGGCATTTCCTTGTTAACTGAGCCAGATTTTCACCTTTTTTTCATTTATCAGTCCATTTCAACTGATTATGCATTTTAAAAGAGGATTGTCAAAGCTGAATGTTGAGTCCATGAAAATTCAAACCTGCGGTCAGGCAAATATAAAAGAACTGCTCTCTGGGGCCAAACACACATAAATATTTGGATTTTACTGAGAGGCTTATGAGATCCAGTCAGACCACAAGTTAAATGATTATGTTGCAGACTGGATGAAATCACACAGTTCTGAGAAAAGGTGATTATTTGTCAGATAAAACAGAAGGTCATAGCTGAGACAAGAAGCTTAGAAGGAATATTTTCATTTCATTTAGATGTCTCTTTTGGAACCATTTCATATTTTTTAAAAGTTTGGGACTTTTTAATATTAAGCGTGTTGTTAATTCAATGTAATGAAAAGGATAAGCTTAAAAAAGGTGAGATGGCATAGGTCAAATGTTTTAGACAGCTATTGTTAGTGCCCAATACTTTAAATATTAGCTAATGAAGAAGGCTTTCAATGACCCAACCTGAAGAATCCACTTAGATCAATTGGAGCAGGTTCTTATTGTTTGTTGTAAGGAGATGTTCAAAAAATAGTTTGCGAACATCACATTTCTATTACTGTCTTTCTACATCCCAGCACTCACCTTTGGTCATGAGGTACGAAATATAACCAAGATTCTTTAAATAAGAGGCTAAAACAAACTTCCTTTGTAGGGCGGTCTGGCTCAGTCTCATAAAGACGAGGAGCTCTGGCTTCTGAGGGAGATGGAGTTAGTTGAAGTGGTTCAGTCTGCCACCAGACTGTCTGTGAGGTTCGGCCAGGAACGAAGCCAGGGTGCAGGCAGGCTTTCAAAGTTTAACAAAAAGTTTTAATAATAAACAAC